AGCTAAATAAACCTTTCCTTCCTTCATTTTGGACGTTGGGTATTTTGTCTCAGCAACGAGAAAAAAGTAACCAAGACACCGTGCATCCAGAGTGCTCAGGAGAAAGACAGAGGAAAAGACCGCACCTTCCTGTCTCCGTTTAGAGAGGTAGATATTGCCTCCTCCCTTAAATGCCTCCAGACTTTTCCGATTGTGGTGTGAGGACGGTGCTCGAGGACTCCGCCACTCTTGTCAGAAGGCCTCCTCGGCCAGGCGGCTGTGCAGGAGGGCGGATTAAAGGCTCCCTCGGCCCCCTGATTATCTGATCAGGTGGAAATGGCGGCAGCATCTGCCAGCTTGCAGAAGTCACTCTGAGCAGCGCCCACTGGGAGTCACAAATAGGGGATTAGAAGCCTTTTCTTTTCAGCTTCTTTGCTGCCTCTCAGCTATTGTCCACAGAGATTCTTCACTAATAGCCGCGGTCTGAATGACTCTTTTCCAGCAACTTCTGTTTTGGGGCTGAAAAGGGAAAGAAGTCAATGTTTTCTAAAGACTCTTTGGTAGGCATTTGCAGCGCAGGGTGGATTTCTCAGGCGTCTTAATCCTGGCAGTAAATGTTGGGGGGTGTCTTGGAGACCAGAAGCAGCAGGCAAGAACTCGGCAACAAAAGGGCTGTGAGGGGATTATTTATTCAAATACTCCGATAGCAGGAGGCCAATCAAAGACACCATGGAAAGCCAGCCGCAGGCAGAGAGGGAGTGTCGGGAACACCCGAGTGTCAAAAGGATCCAGGCTTTTTCAGAATGAAGGAAGTGGCTGGCGAAATGGTCTTTCATAACTGATCAGAGCTGGGCCCCCGCGATGTGCCAAGAGGTGGGATTATCAAAGAGCAAACACCTTTATTATCCTAGCCTCCCTGCCCCATCACAAGCCCAGTCAGAATCACTGGAACTGGGGCTGGGGCTGCCTGAAAAGAGAGGTCTCCGAAAGTTGGAAAAATCTGCCCCCAGCGGTACTGAACTTGTTCAGTGGTAATGAACACACCCACAGCAGCCATGGCACAATTTTGCACGAGAGCATCTTTGGAAACAGGCAGGAAAGAGGGTCTCCGCCATCGATGTAAATGCACTGATTTACATAAACATTAGTGTGATTAGAGGTTTCCACTCCGACCTTCTAGATGAGCAGCCGGCAGGACACCAAGCGGAGCCACGCGGCCTGCTTTGAGCGGTTACGTAACTGCCACAGAGTCCAGGGAAATCTGCAAAGTAGATGTTTCTCAGTTGCCAAATCCTCTCCTCTCCTCAGGTTCCCACACTTTCCTAAAGAAAATTCAATTCTGGAAGAGTTGATGTAAAAGTCAAGAAATTTGATTATCTGAGTAACGCATTACGACACACCCACCATCTGCTGCTGTCTAATAAATCACCCCAAGTGGACAGCAGTCATTTTGTCACCGCTTCTGGTCTCCGTTGGTCAGGAGTTCAGAGAGGGTTTAGCGGCGAGACCGTGGTTTGGGGTCCCTCAAGTACTTATAATAAGGTAGTGGCCAAAGCCACAGCAGCAGAGCAACTGGGGCCCCTGCAGCCCTGCCGGGCATCTCTCTCTTCAAGGTCTTGCTCTTCGCATGTGGCTTCCCCAGAGAAGCGGACCTGAGCTTCCAATATGGCGCCCTCAGGCCGTTAACTGCTCCTGTGCAAGTATTGGCCTCCGTCTGCACGTCTCCGCTCTGCCTGCCCCACCCCGACTCCTCTGCTTCTGCCCAACCAGTGCCATCCTAGGGAGCATTTTCTGACCCCTCAGGCCGGGAGCCAGGAGACGACTTCCAAGGTGAAGGTGAAGACATGGAAGGAGCTCCCATCTTCAGCCAAGGCCCCAACCTTATGACCTGACCTTAGCAATCATGGTGGCATCACATCTACAACATCCTGTTGGTTACGAGTGTGTCACAGCCCACTGTCTAGGGGAGGAACATTAGCCGTACCTCTTCAAAGGGCAGTGGCAAGGTCCGAAAGGGCAACGTGTGATGGACACTTTTGTGGCAATCTCTGCAAAATACAATAATGCCATTGGGTGTGAATAACGACTGATGACCAGAAGCTTTTAGGGAAATACTTGTATTGTTAAAAAATAATGTTACACAGAGAAGTCTCCAAATAAGTAGAGTAAGTACGGAGGAGGTTGTGTTACCGGCTCCTGAGGGTAGAACAACCGGGTGTAACGTACGCGGCACCCGTTTCCTAGGCTGCCGTAAGAAAGCAGCGTGCACAGAATGTCCCATGCCTCAGACTTGTGTTGTTGTCTCCCAGTTCCGGAGCTGGGAAGTCTGAGATGTGGGCGGCCAGGACCGTGAGGGGGATCCGTCCCAGGCTCTCCCTGGCTCCTGGTGCTCCGCCGCCGTTCCCAGTGTTTCTAGGCTGTGCATTACAGACGTCTGTCTTCGTGTGGTGCACACCCTCCCTATGTGTGTGGGTCTGAATCTCCCTTTTCCACAAGGACACCAGTCACTGTGGGAAGAGGCCTGGCCGACTCCCATGGGACCTCACCTGAACCTACCACATCCACCAGCAATGAGCCTGTTTCCAACCAAGATCATGTTCCAAGGGCCTGGGGCGAGGCACAGTTCAGCCCATAACATGTCTCATTTTCTGATGTGGCTTCCGAGAGTGTGAATAGAGGCTTAGGACATTGTAATCCCAGCATTCTGGGAAGCTGAGGCAGGAGGATTACAAGTTCTAGCCCAGCCTGGCACCTTAGCAACTTAGTGAGTCCCTGTCTCAATGA